GGGGTTTTCTTTTCTTTTCCGTTTTTTTGAAAGGGTGTACTTTGATTTTTTTTCTGCTTTGGTCCTGGGGTTGCGGTCCGGTGACCACAACCCCCACAGCCTCCCCCCACGGGTTCGGCCCCTTCGGCTCGGCCCCGCTTCACTTTGTCCTCCCGTCCCGGAGCGCCTGCAGCGCGCTGCGTAGGCCGACCCGCCGAGCAGCCGTGTGGAGCCGGCGGCCCACGCTGGGGCGGACGCAGGACGCGAGAAAATATGAGTTCGCCGCCACTGCCAACGTTTGTGTTAATCGCGAAACAGCGAACGTTTCCTATCACTGTAACGTTCAATGTGGAGTTGGAGGCACATTATTAGGAGGATGTTTGAAAGGCAGTACGAAATGCACCGCGGAGTTTACAGTGTTTATGAGACTCTGATTCTCACTATGTGGTCACGCTCCCATGTTAAATCATAGGCATCAAAAATAAGCCGCAGGGAACGTGTTAATCCTATATTGTTTCGCTTCCGAGAAGTGCAAAGATCACTGGCCCCTCAGAAGCGCCATAAAAGTTTCGATAACAATTTGTTGACGAGCGTTCGTAACGGGGGAGTGTCATCAGATCATTTGGCCGTATGATGGTTTTAGTTTTCATTGGAAACGTCCCGCCAAAAGTCACGGCATGAGTAGGGGTCGAGCAGGGGCGAGTAAAGTTAAGTACGCGTGAGCGTTTCACGTGAGATGAGCGCTCACACGAGCAATGTGCGGTGCCATATACTAAACGACTTCAAATTGAAAATATTTTTGCAGGATTGCACTCTTCTTAGTCCCTCCTCTCTAAAAAAAATCTATGGGTTTGTCAATTTTCGCGTCATTTTGCCTCTCACCTGGACGCTCATCTCACGTGGAACGCTCAGGTGCGCTTAACTTTACACGCCCCTGCAGGGGGCACTCGGCAGGCACTCTCTTTGTTGTGAGCGCTGCGTGCGTCCGATACAACAGACCGAGGAGTCGATAGGGAGCCGCGATCCGCTTTGCCGACAGGCTCACCGTGATTTTGATTGCAGGAGAGGATGTGCCCGCCCCGCGCCGCGCCGGCCACGCCCCGCGGCGCGCTGTTTGGGCGCCAGCGATAACCGTCCCGTCGAGTGGTCTGCACTTTGAGAAACCCCCCCGCGGGAGCCCCGCAGGCCCAACGCAGGTGAGAGAGGCAACTGCACAAGGAGGTGCGCGAATACCGCTGGACACGCTACTCGCCGTACGTTTTCTCGGTGCGTGAATCTTTGTTACACACTTAGGGATTTTAATTTTCCAAAAAAGTATTTTTTTAACCACTTAATTTTTTCCTGAAACGATTCATTTTTTCCCCCAAGCATTTCTGGAAAGGTTTCAAATGTATTCGGAAAAATTTTGGACCTCAAAATCTCTATACAGGATGGTCCACAGACCCACTCCTTTAATTTGCTTATACTGTGCTGGATGTAGGCGTGCGTGCAACCCGCCCGCACGGCTGTATCCGGTATAGTATAAGCAAAATTAAAGGAAGGGGTCTGTGGACCACCCTGTATATCCTTCCTCGCGGCAAATGTCACGCGCTTGTGTCTATGTGGAGAGGCGGATAATGGCGATGTGCTCGACGAACGAGGTGATGTCCGCAGCGTCACCATGCTTCCCCTGGTGCGGTACACGAACATCACGGGCGACGTGAGCCAGCAATGCGTGTTCCTCGAGGACGCCATGCAGGGCGACGCGAACCTTCTTCGCGTCGTGCTGGCCGCGCAGTTCCTGGTGTCCGTCGTCGTCGTGCTCGTCAACGTGTACACCATCGCGGCCATCTGGCCGCGGCGCAAGCGGCGCTCCACGCAGTCGCAGCTGTTCGTGCTGCAGCTCGCCCTCGCCGACGTGCTCTGCGGCCTCTCCAGGATCTTTACGGTCATCTTCTCCATGGACTGCGGGCTGGCCGAGATGGCCGCCACCTCCGAGGTACGCACCGGAAGCCAGGCTCACGTTCGTGGGGTGCTGGGGATGGATATAGAAGAAAGAGATAAGGGTGGCAAAACTGCTTGCAACAGCTTGCACTTTTGCGTTCCTAATGGAGCTCATCCAGGCTAACGATGCGCCGCTCTGTGCCAGCTCGTGTGCGTGGTCCCGTTGGTGTTCACAGTCTTCACGTGGACGCTCTCGGCCACCACGCTGGCCGCCATCGCCGTGGACCGCTACGTGTGCATCGTGCACAGCCTGCGCTACTACGAGTTCATGAAAACGCGCCGGGTCATCGCGATCCTGGCCGGGCTGTGGGTCTTCTCGATGCTGTGCTCCGGGCTGTACCTGACCACCTGGCAGTGGGTGGAGGGCCGCTACTGCGAGGATCAGAACCTCATCCCGCTCTGGCACCTGCTCGCCGTACAGGTGAGCCGGCGGACACTGCACTGGAAACGCAAGTGTGTGAGTGTCGCACACTTTAGGTCCAGTTGTGCCTGTGTACGAATGGCGTTCAGACACCTACAAGTGTGTGACATTCACACAGTTCGCTTTCCGGTGTGTTTGGAGGGATTCGATGGATTCTTAAATTAACTACGCGCATCGTCATTGAATACACGTGAAGTGCGAGTCGACACACTTTAAAGTGAAACATGAGTTCCACCACCCTACTTTGCAGATTCCCATCACCGTGCTCGTGCTGGTCGTGGTGACTGTGACCCACGTCACCATCCGGCGCGAGGCGCAGCGGCACGCCGCGCGCAGCAACCCCGGCTGGGGCCCCGACAAGCACGCCAACAGCGCCTCGGTGCGCTCCGCCAAGATCACCATTCTGGTCGTGGCCAGCTTCGTCATGTGCTACCTGCCCATGCAGGTGAGCAGCCCCTCGCACCATACACGACCAACGTTCGTCAAAGCAATGGGGACAGAATTAGAGATGTTTAAGTCCGAAAATTTTCCAGAATTGTTGGAAAGAATTCCAGTAAAATTGAGAAAATGGAGCTTTTCAGTAAAAATAATGGATTTAAAAATTTCTTGAAAAATTTCACTGAGATACTTTTTAGAAAATCACAATTCCTCCTACAACTGGCCATGCTCCCTTGCAGATCTTTCAGGTGCTGTGTTACTTCGACGAGGATGAGTTCACGAGCTGGGACTTCTTCGTCTTCGAAATGTTCACCGGTCTGTGGTATCTGCTCAATCCCTTCATCTACGCCTGGAAGAACGCCTCCATCCGAGAGGACATGGTGGTGCTGTGGAGGCGCATCTTCAGGCGCTGCGTCCGCGAGCAGGACGTGCGCGATCCCCCCACCCCGCCCCACGGAGCGCGCCGCTTCTGAAGGTTGTTGTTTGAGGAGACACATTCGAGTTTGACAAAAGACGACGCTGTCAATAGGGTTGTTCTTCACAACGCAGACCTGCTGTGTGTACTGCTGGTGAGGTTGCTGCGGAGCTCAAACGTTCACAGAGAGCTCCCTAGATGCGTCGACAAATTAACAAAAAAACAGTGATCGTATCTTTAAGATTTAGTTTATAAAATAAATGTGCTGCTGGCAGCTCAACAAGTCAATGTTGCATTTCTCTGGAAGAAGGCTTTTTGTTTAGTTCTTAATTTTTTTACGTACTTGATTTAATTGCTCGAAAGTCGTGTTAGACTTTTTGTTGCAAGTCTCGTTGTGCTTCAACTTTCAACTAAAATGAGATGGAATAAATTTCTTGGCTGAAACTCTTAATTTATTTTTGTGCTGTATACGAGCGATGAGGTGCGAGGTAGAATCAGTGCACGCGTTCGCGTTTGTCTCGTCGAGCATAGCTGAGAGCATGATATCCGTTCTATCGAAGTCATTAATTCTTTTTGCTGGTCGTATGGAATGCCGACATTTGAAACGAGTAGTAGGGATCGGGTCCCTGCCGGAGTAGACGGTATGCCAAAGCTCGGGAGGCACTGGTCGGGTGCCGCTGCCACGCGCGGGCCATGCGTGTCGCTGGAGGCCATGAATAGAACAAGTACCGCGATCGCCTTCCCTGTCTTCGTTTGGTCAGAAAGTCAGACTGCCACAGCGGGGCCTTGGCCCAAGTTACACACGCGCCGATGAAAGCTTGATGCAAATAACGTTTGCAGCGAGCGCGCAACTTTTCCCCCGTCGTGCCACGCTGCCCGAGCTGAGAGAGCTGGCGGGGCACACAGTCGCAGCGTTTTCTTTCGCCACGGGCCAGATGGCTAAACACATCCGACTCAAAGTTTCCCCCAGCCAGGGGCCCGACCACACTGCTGACCGAATCACGCTGGCAGCCGTAGGTGCCACCACCTCCTACACACCCGCACGGACCCGCAGCCTCGACAACGCCTATAGCTGCGGCCTGCCAAATGGGCTAGCTATTAGGCCACGACTTCATCAACCAGGCGTTCGGTTGAGACTCGATGCACTTTGTCCACCGACTTTGAACGTTTTGGCTGATTTCCGGTGAGGCTATACAACTTCAGTTTTCAGTCAGTTTGCAATAACGTGCGTAAGCCGTAACCAGAGGCTCGACCTGGTCGACCACCACTACTTATTGCATCTGTTTCGGTCTATAAGTACCTTGCGACTTTCTTTTTCTCCTTCCCAAAGTGGTGGCCCATGTCGCAGCAGGACGAACGGGCAGCCGTCTCGCCCTTAACGAGCGCGCTCCGCGGCTGGCGCGAGGACCTGGGAGGATGCAGCATGTCGCGCAGGCCGTGGTGGAGGGCCGCCCACGCCGTGCGCAGCAGTAGGGTGAGAGGAGAGAGAGAGAGAGAGAGAGAGAGAGAGAGAGAGAGAGAGAGAGAGAGAGAGAGAGGGGGGGGGGACCGAGGAGGAGAGGGGAATAAAGGAAGGAACTCTCCAAAACGTGCGAGCGAGAGGCCCCTTGGAGGTAGACAGTCCCGTTGCACTCCGGTGCTCGGCGGGTCGGCCTACCTCTCAGCCGTCAGGCGCTCGGTCCCGCACGTGCTCATAGATCAAGCTGCCACCGACCGGTGTCAACCGAAACATGTGAAACCAACCAACAATTTGTTCTCAATATGTAACTCACCCTAACCCTGGCACATTTTTGTTACAACTATAAAATGAGGCTGCCATGTGCGGCCGATGCCGATCCCGGCCCGGGGCGAAGAGACGAGACACCATTCAGTGTGACCAGAAAAATAGAACTCTTCAAATATCACATCGACAGAATTTGTACTAGTCTTACCTCACCGAAAATCAGGGTTCAAGACGGTTTAAGACCGTGGCTGGCAATTTGGAGGACGGGGAAGTCCCTATTAGAAAGGCAGTCCCGTTGCT